TCAATCAACGACCGTTTCCAGCATGTGCGACGCCACAATCACATCAACGCCCGACCACGGGCCGCCCGCCCCAAATGGCATCAGCTGCCCGAACCGAAGTGGAATGACACTCGAGACTGCAATGGCCAGTTCGAGTGCCACTTGGAGTGTCCGATGGCCCTGGCACGTGCGATATTGCAGCTCAGATGAAGCGAAAGGCGAGAAAGATGGCCGTCATAATATCGGATTTTTTTTTCCTTTTTTTATCGTTCTAATCTTTGGATCTCTCTGTGTTTTTGTTATTATATTTATTTTTATTTCAAGATTGTATCTTTTTTATCGTATTATTTTTTGAACAAGATGGCCGTCATATATCGGATTTTTTTTTCTTTTTTTTATCGTTCTATCTTTGGATCTCTGTGTTTTGTTATTATTATTATTTTTATTCTTGTTTAATTATTTTTTGTGTTTATATTTTTTTTCTGTGTATTTACTTTGATGTGTTGTTCTCTACTATTTTTTTTTAATTATTTGGCCTTTTATATTTCTTTACAAGGATAACGATGACACTGCCATTAATGATCAAAATAATAATAAAAAAAACGAAAGAAAAAAATAAAAATATAACAGTACGTGACTACGGGTAGCCTTTTTTACTTATTTTTTTCTCTTTATTTCCATTTCCCCCTCACCTCTTCTTTCCATCTGTTCCCCTCTGTTTTTCCCCTCAACCTTCACTCCCTCTTCTTGTCCTTTCGTCTTTACCTCCTCTCTCCTCTTACCTCCCTTGTCATCTCCCTTCTCCCTCTCTTCCCTTTCGTCCTCTCCTCCTCTCCCCTTGTCTCCCCTCCCCTCCTCTTTCCCCATTCCTTCCCCTCTCCTCTCCCTATCCCCCTATGACCTGTCTGTGAGGGAAACTTTGGCCTCATTGTCAGGCATAGGTCAGCTGAGAGAGAGAGAGAGAGAGAGAGAGAGAGAGAGAGAGAGAGAGAGAGAGAGAGAGAGAGAGAGAGAGAGAGAGAGAGAGAGAGAGAGAGAGAGAGAGAGAGAAGAGAGAGAGGGAGAGGGAGAGAGGGAGAGAGAGAGAGAGAGAGGAGAGAGGGAGAAGAGAGAGAGAGAGAGAGAGAGAGAGAGAGAGAGGGAGAGAGAGAGAGAGAGAGAGAAGAGAGAGGAGAGAGAGAGAGAGAGAGAAGAAGAAAGAGAGAGAGAGAAGAGAGAGAGAGAGGAGAGAGAGGAGAGAGAGAGAGGAGAGAGAGAGAGAGAGAGAGAGAGAGAGAGAGAGAGAGAGAGAGAGAGAGAACGAAAAAGAAACGAAAAAAAAAAAAAAAAAAAAAGAAAAAAAAGAAAAGAAGAGAAAGAGAACGAAAGAGACATAGAGAGAGACAGAGAGAACGTGTGTGAGTGGCCGCGACAGACCCCATTCCCTCCCTCTCTGTCACGTGTCTCCTCCATCCATAGCCAGCTTCATTCTCACTCTCCGTTCAGTGCCAGATCAAAATGTAGTTTCAAGAGGGGGATCAGAGCTTGTTATTCGTTCTATCTTCTTCTTCTTCTTCTTTTTATTCTTTTTTTTTTTCCTCTTTTCTTCTTTTCTTTCTTTCTTCTTCTTCTTCTTTTTTCTTCTTTTTTGTCTTTTTCTGTTTTTTTTCTTTCTTAATTTTCTATTTTTTTCTTCTTTCTTGTTTTTGTTTTTTTTTCTTTTTTTTCTTTTTTTTCTTTTTTGTCTTTTCTGTTTTCTTCTTCTTTCTTCTTTTCTTCTTTTTTTTTTCTTATTTTTTTTCTTTTCTTCTTTTATTTTTCTTTTTCTCCTCTTTCTTTTCTTTCCCCTTTTCTTCATCTTCTTTTTTCTTTTTTTATTTTGTGTCTTCTTCTTTTTCTCTTTTTCTCATTTCTTCTTCATCTCTTTTCTGGCAATACAATAATGATAAAAAAGTAATAATGACAATGATAATAATTATGGACATAAAGATGATAATGGTAATGATGATGATAACAATAAAAATGACAATGATAAAGGTAATAATAATAATAATGATAATAATAATGATAATGATGATAACAATAATGATGATATTAATGTTAGTGATAATAATGGTAATAATGATATTAATGATAATATAACATATAATAATGATAATATACTAGTGATATGATGATTATGATGAATGATGATGAAATAATGACAATAATTGGAACGATGATGATGATACTAATGATAATAGTAATAAAAATAATGATGATTATGATGAATGATAATAATGACAACAACAATGATAAGAATGATAAAGATCTTAATAATGATGTTGATAGTAATGACATAATATGATATATATTACAATAACAAATGAAATGCCAATAGTAATGCTAATGCTAATGTTAATAACTAATATGACATTAATATAAATAATTCTAAATGATCATAACATCAACAACAACAATGATAGTAATAATGACAGTAATAATAATAATGACTACTACTACTACTACTACTACTACAACTGCTAATGATTATAATAATGATGATATTAATGATAGCAATAATAATAGTAACAATAATAGTAATTAAAATGATAATGGTAATAAAAATAACATAAATAATAATGATATCATTAATGATGAACATGATAATGATAATAGTAATGATGATAATGATGGTGATAATGATAGTAATAATGATAATATTAATGATAACAAAAATGCTAGTGATAGTAATAATGATAATGACAATAAAAATAATAATGTTAATAATTATAACTGTAATGATAATAGTTATAACTATAATGATATTAATAATGGTAATAGTAATAATCATCATAATGATAGTAATACTAATGATAACAACAACAACAACAACAATAATCATAATAATAATAATAATAATAATAATAATAATGATAATAATAATATCAATGATAATGATAATAGTAACAAAACTCATCATTATAATCATCATAATGATGATAATAACATTAATGATAATAGTAACAATGGCGATGACATAGATAGTGATATCAATAATAGTAAAAGTAATACATATTTTGAAGATATGACTAACAACATAAGCAAGGACAATGATAATGATGTTAATACAATAGTTTTTACCATCTGTATAATCACTTTTCTCATAAAAAAGTATAAACATACATACAACGTGTGATTGTATATATTGTACACACACACACACACACACCACACACACACACACACACACACACACACACACACACACACACACACACACACACACACACACACACACACACACACACAACACACACACACACACACACACACACATACACACCACACACACACACATACACACACACACACACAAATATATATAATATAATATATATATATATATATATATATATATATATATATATATATATATATATATATATATATATATATATATATATTATATGTATATATATAATGTATATATGTATTCAAAACGACACATAAGCGCTTTCCAACTCAAAGAAACAAGAAAATGAATACTTGTCTGTTCAATTATTTACGCAACATTTTTATGAACACTTATCAATACTTCTCCTTTAATGCTGTCGTTCAGAGAGAAATATTGTTGGAATGTAAGCATCTGTCGCTATTTTTGTTCATTTTTGTGAACATAATATATTGTTCTTTTTTATCTGTTTTTTTCTTTGTTTTTTTTCTTTTTCTGTCATCGTATTTTTATGAACACTCTTCAACCTTTTTTTCGTAAATTTTTTTCGTTTAGAGAAATATTGTTGGAATGTGAGTGTCTACCGTTCTTTTTTATCTTTATATTTTCAAGTATAATGTATCGTTATTTCTTTTTTTTCATTTCTTTTCTATCCATCATTTGTTACGTATATCATTCTTTATTATTTTATTTTCATTATAAGTGTTGCATCTTTTATTGCTACTGCTATGAACATTTTCATCAATATTATCATTTTCACTTAATCTTCTGCTTCTCCCGATTATTATATGTTCACCTTTTTCCCTTGTTTGTTTAGATTTATTTATTTTTATTTTCATATTTTTTCTTTCCAACGTTCGTCTTATTTGTTAAAACTTATCTGAATTGTTATTATTATTTGTGTTGTTATTATGTTTTAATGAATTTCTAAATAGATTTTTATATTATAATTGTTATTATTTTCTTTTTTTTTCCTTCTTGACTACGTCCATTTTTTTGTATGACGTGACTTACATTGCAGAACATTTCTCATTTGTTCTATCTGTTATTTGTTCTCTCATTATGCTTCTTTCTGGACCTTTGTTACTGTTTCTCCTTCTCTCTTTTTGTTGTATTCTTTCTCATTCTCTCTCTCTCTCTCTCTCTATCCGTGTCCCTCTCTTTTTCTTCCTCTGTCTGTCTGTTTCTCTCTTTCACTCTCACTCTGTCTGTGTCTATCTGTCTCTGTCTTTCTCTCTCTCTCTCTTCTGTCTGTCTGACTCTCTCTCTGTTTTTCTCTGTTTCTGTCTGTCTGTCTCTCTCTCTCTCTGTCTGTTTGTCTGTCTATCTCTCTGTCTGTCTGTCTGTTATCTCTCTGTTCTGTCTGTCTGTCTCTCTCGTTCTCGTTCTGTCTGTCTGTCTGTCTATCTGTCTGCCTCTCTCTCTCTCTCTCTCTCCCTCTCTCGTTCCTGTATCCCTCTCTTTGGGCCTCCTGGAATCTCTGTCTGGAAGCAAATTCAAGAAAGAAAGAAGTATCAAAAGGAAGAAGGGGAGGAAGAAAAGGTGAAACAGAAGGAAGAAGAGGAACAGAATGCGAAGGGGGAGAATGAAGAGTAGGAGGAGAAGGAGGAGGAGAAGGAGGAAGAGGAGGGGAAGGGAGATGGACGGTCTTGTGTGGTGTGGGGATGGGGATGGGGGGGGGGGTGAATGTAAGAGGATTGGAACCCTGAGGGTGAGAGAGGAAGGAGGTGGAGAAGGAGGAGGAGGAGGAGGAGGAGGAGGAGGAGGTGGTAGTGGTGGAGGAAGAGTAGGGAGGAGGCAAAAGAGGAGAGGGAGGAAGAGGAGGAGGTGGAGGCGAAGGCGAAGGAGGAGGAAAGGCAAAGGAGAGAGAGTGAGGAAGAGGAGGAGGAGGAGGCGAAAGCGAAAGGAGGCGGAGGAGGAGGAGGAGGAAGGAGGGGAGCGCGAAGGGTCAGTCTTGCGGGAGGTTAAGAAGGGAGGAGGAGGAAGG